CATATTAATTTGTATAAATTTAACAATAAAGGCATTAAAAAATGTCAGGTTAATCAAACATAGGGATATGTTTGTATGCTCTCGTGTATTCCAGGTAACACCCCCTTCAATGTCCCCATCGAAATCTACGAATTTAATTCCGATTTACTGCCAATGTATAAAAATTCAGGACAAAGAAAATATATATTCTCATTCAACAATCTTTGGTTAAAAGATTTGAATGTGAAATTTCTGTCTGAATTTCTAGGATGAAAATTATCCATATTTACATTCGGACTGTTGTCCTCACCTTTCTTGTCATTATGACTCCAGTGTCTGAACAGTATTAAATAAGGAAAGAAAAACGAGATATTCTTTGAGAGGGACAGCCGGAAAGAGAATAACCTATACCCCAGTGTATTGCAATTAAAAAGGGTTCAAGTTAAAATTCCTTAAATGTTACACGGTTCGAAATACACCGGAAGTAGCCTTGAACCTATAACGACCGAATGTAAATAATGTACAGTCAATGACGAAATTATTCGTACACCCATCAATTTTGATAATTTATCCATTTCTCAGAATCTAATTGGATATTAATATTGTGAAAATTGTTCAATTTATTCTATTTTTCATACAGTACTAATAATTTTGTCTTTTCCTATTTTGCATAATTCGCCGGTCAAATTTGTTGTATTTAACCTGTTGTTCCGAAAACAGAGTTCCATATCCTAATTTTTTTTTTATTTAATTTTTGTGCTTATTGGTATATAAAAAAAAAACTGGCATCATACGGGCATTAGATTCTGAGAAATGGATAAAAATATTAAAACACTGATGGATGTACGAATAATTTTGTCGTTGACTGTCATTATTCTAGGGAATCTCCAAATCTCTTCCATCACGTTTTACTTCTTTTTAATATTCTCATCACAATCAGGCGACTTAGATACAATGGATTACTGAGATTGAAATATACAGGGAGCATAATACAAGGAAAGGATTCAAGTTTACAGAAAATGACTATTGACTTAGCATTTATCTATTTATTTATTTATTTATTTTTTGAGATTGTAGTTGACACGAAAAAATGAAAGCAGGGATAAAGTTCCATGAGCAAAAAGTGCGAGAGAAGAAACTATTAGAATAGAACTTACAGTTACTGTTATCAATTGCCACAGTAAAATAATGAGACCTAACTACCAATCTAGTACTGCGCTCAAATTCATGAGGTTGAGGTACCAAAGAGGAGAGAAGGAACCCGAAAGAGAGTTCCACAATCAAGAAAAGCGGAAGGAGAATTTATCAACATAGAACTTGCGGTACATGTAGCAATTTCAACATTGAAATGATGTGACCGAGCTGGCAATCTAGTACTGCACTTAAATGCACTTAAATTCGTGTAGCCGAAGCACCAGAACAATTATCGCGAAAAAATGTATAGAAAAAGCAAGCGAAGCTATGTTACTGAATCCGAGGTGCCAGGTTATGACCGATAATGTTGCAGATTCTGTCAGGAATCTCTAGATATTTAGCAGAAGACCCAGAAAAGATATTTTAGCAACAATGGATGTATGGGCGAATGGCAGATTTCCATTTTTATGTTTGATAGATAGCAAAACAAACAGAATTGAAAATTAATTAAAATGTCTATATAGGCCTGGCATGAAGTGCTTTTCTTCGCCCTGATTCAGGTGGTTAAACTAAATAAATATTTCATACGTTTAAGCAATAATATTAAAAAGTACATTATAATAAAAAAAAATAAATCTATAACAAGTTACAGACGACGGAGAAAGACAGAGAGAAAAAAGGGAGACAGCTAAATAAAAAATCAAATGAAGAGGAATATTGTGCTTAGACTGATTAGATTGTATCAATGTGAACTTTGACCACGCAACATGACCAGAATATTTTCTTTTCGAAAATACAGGCATATCGTCGCCATGTTGACTCATCACATTTTGGCGTAGGCATACCTGTAATCTTTTACTGGTTTATCTGCCATAACTAATTAGCATGATATTTTAATGCCTTTGGCAACAAAATTTATATATATATATATATATATATATATATATATATATATATATATATATATATATATATATTCAAGCAAGCCAAATTCATCTATATTCTTTTTTTTTTTCACCATCACCTTTGTCCCTGATTATCCCACATTGGGACAGCAGATAATCTGCCAAGAATTGTGATATATTAAAAGGGACATATAAATAAAAAACTCACACACACACTAAACGCATTCGTTGTTCACCAGAATGAAACTGACCACAATTTTGACACAGGGAATGCCTACTCTGATTAAAAGAGAAAATAATTCACTAAAAGGTAAAGTTCCTTGATCAGTTGTTCAGCCACGGTAAATTTACTCTGTCTGCGAAATTTTCATAGAATCGGACCTGTATCCTATACGGAACCGTCATATAGCCTGACGTGCCTTAACCGTCTCGGCCACATAAGAGCGTTTGGTTAGCAAGGTCGATTTTACTGTCTATGAAAATTTCTCGGACATTCAGGTCGGTAAATTTTGTTTAATACTGTTTATTATAAACAGAGCATTTATTTAAATATTTGTATCTATAAAAGAATGTCTTAATATATATATATATATATATATATATATATATATATATATATATATATATATAAGATCATATACAGAATCGTGAGACGATTAAATAAGTTGGAAAATATGAATTTTATGACTGGAATTTAATTAAAAATATATATTTATTGGCAAAGTGGAATGTCTACCACATGTAAACAATTCAATAAAAGCACAGCGAAATTCTTATCAGAAATGAAGATATATCAAGCACCTCTTATCGAAAGGCATTTGGCTTCCTCAGATTGTAATAGAAAATTCTTTTTCTTTATTTCTTACTTTTCCTACTCCTTAGTCCTCTTCTCATTATTATTATTATTATTATTATTATTTCCTTCCATCCTTTGTAGCTACTTAGCACGTTCATTACGAGACACGGTGGTGAAATATACAGCAGCTCGGGTTGCGGAATCGGAGAGTTGAGTTCAAATTCCATTCGAATCCATTGCATTTACTTACGTGCTAATAAGGTATGAATCGTCTTCTTCTCCCAACCCCAGCTATGGGTAAATAGAAGGATATACTGGGTTCTATAGCATTGGGTGGAAGCCAGTGTAGGAGGAGGAAAACTCTGAATTCAAAACCTGCGGAGGTTTGTTTGGTTATCTTGTTCTCGGTATTCGGTTCTTCCCAAAACTGTGGTTGGTTCTGCACAAGCCTTCACCACTATAATCAAATGTTTTTGTTTTTTTTTCATGTAATCTGTTCATAGAAACTGACAGTCAGATTGGCTGTCAGTATGAGTTGCTTGACCCTCGTACGTCGAAATCTACGGGAGAGTCCATTTACGCCCTATAATAGCTTATGTGTCCCCTGTTCACTAATTCTTGGTATAGCAGCAGTGGACAGGAATATCTCTATCTCTTAAAAAACATTATGTCATCCTGGGTATGACGATAAACTACATCCGGGAGCAAGGCCTTTGATCGGGAGGTTTTAAGGGGTATAGGACCACCTCTTTATTACTGTTGTACCAAGGTCCTCGCTGACCCTGTATAGTAGCTGTAAGTTTCCCAGCTATGGGCAAATAATTAACCCACAAACTGGGGTCAAAACAATATGAACGTATAAAATTGATTTTTATAATTAAAATACCGGCAATACATTGCAGCTAATATTTCTTTTTCAAAAATGTTTTTGAAAAAGTAATATTACAAGCAATACATTAAAAAAAAACAGCAGTACATTTGACTCTCGACAAAAACTCTCTTTAAAAAATAAGACAATGAAGCCTTATCTACAAACTGATTTCTTACAAAGAATACATATTCTATTCATGCAAACCCATCCTAAAAATCTTGTCGGCATTAAATAATCCATTGAGGTTGATATGCCGTAAAACAAAATAAACCAAACCAAACCTAAAAGCATTATGGGATATGGTGAAGCTGTATATATGCGTTTCTAGAAAGAAAGCAAGAAAGGAAAATAATATAACCGGGTCGATAACGCTTTCATGTGTTTAATGTCTGCTCCAGTAAAATTAAAAATCTTGTTTTTTTTTATCTTTTCATTTGTACATTCTTTAAACGTCTTTTCATCCTTACAATTGCAATGTTAAACTTTGTTAAAGTTGTTAAGTTTGAATTTTTAACGATGAAACAAGAATTTCCATAGATATTATGTAGCTATGGAATTTGCAAATTTAAAATCACACATTAGAAATGATGACTCATCGGATAACTTAAAATAAGAAAAACATGAAGCATTCTTTGGTACTGCCAGTTATTACTATTATCATTATAAAACTCTCCAAAGTCTTTTGGTTATCGCTGGACTGCATGGCAGTAAGTTTCCTAAAATTCTCTGTTAACTTTATTGGAATCGATGTCGATCAATGTTTTTTTTTTGTTTTTTTTTATTGGAACAATCTCAGTTCTTCCTCGAACCCCCAGTTTATTTGTTTTTAGTTCTTTGCAACGTTACCATGTCATTATAAGAATAACACGAAATTTTATTCTGACTATATAATAAGAGACTAACGAAATTTTATTCTGACTATATAATAAGGGACTAACGAAATTTTATTCTGACTATATAATAAGGGGTAACATATCCAGAATTGCTCAGATATCAGGCTTAAATTTAATTATAGCCCAATTAAAAAATATTTTTAATGTATAAAAAAAAAGAAGCTAAAAATTTTAAACCATCTCAATTTTAGATCTTGAGCGAGGTCCTGGTATTTGTTTTTTAATTTTTCGCTTTTATTAATTTTGCTAGTACAACCATATATAGAATCTGAAATTTCCTTGTCTACAACGACCAAAACCCGTGTTTTCCTTAGGTGACAGGCGTTTTTCTTTTACAATAATGTTCACCTTGTTATCTCCTATTAATTCCCCTGTCTAATTCCTCCAGTGATAGGACCCAAACAGTGTGAGTTCAATACCCGGTTAAGGCAGTGGAGAACTTGCAGAGGGGAATTAACAGGAGATAACTGATAACTGACATCCATGATACGTGGAACTAGATCAGTCTACCTCAATAAGCGAAATAAACGGTTCAGTTCGACATTCCAACCACCTGAAGATGGCCGGAGCGTACAAACGTTGTAATAAATATGGAGACAAAGATAAGGACAATAGTCCGAATAATGTAAATAGTGTGCATAATGACTCATCTTAGGAATATACACAGATACTAGTATCGTTTTCTTGATTTACTTATTATCTGGATGTAGATATATAGTTATACGTATTTATATCATAACCACGTGGATTTAGACGTTTAAAATTAGTTGTAGTTCACAATAACTTACTCGACTTTAAAAAAATGTATGCAATTCATTGTTTATATGTTAGATATATATTATGTATTTATTGAAATTTATTTTTAAATTTCAGATTAATAAGGATTGTCATGGATGATGAGACGAAAGACTTCAAAAGAAATACAAATGGTTTTAAATTTCTTGAATAACGAACGTACAACTTTCAAAATTCCGAAAGATTTGTTCAGAGATCATCGAACAGTCAACAAAGAAAATTGAAAATTTTGGCAAGATAAGAAAAAGTGGTTTTAAGAATGTCAGAAAAAGAGATTTGAGAAAAAGTAAATAAGAACAAAAGCTGATTGGCCACCAAAAAATGAAAAAAAAATCTTTGACGTATGTAAACAAAGAAAACTGTAGACGATAAAAAAGATTAGCTAACGACGTAAAAACAACGAAACTAGGGCGTTGTATAAACAACATAAAGAGAAAGAAATATTTGTTGGGCGAAGAATTACATGAAGATTGATTACTAAGCAATAATTCTTAGTGAAGGCAGAAGTACATCGAATGGAATAAATGGTTGCACAAGAAATTGGGTCCTACACCCTTGTGCAAATTAACTGAAAAAAAACGCTTTAGTTTCCTTTCATTCACCATACGTTCAGATTTAAACCCACTAGAGAAGCGTTTCTCAACCTTTTTACTCTTGCGTAACCCTTAAAATAAATTACATGTCTTAAGGAACCCTTGCTCAAAAACAAAATTATATAACATATCTTTCTCATTTTATTTTCATCGTAGTTCACGTAGGAAATACCATAGTATATATTTTTCAGAATTTTCGGAATGTTTCCTCTTCAAAAATCACCACATTTGGGTGATTAGGTATTTCTATAAAGATAAAGAACAAAGAAATAAGTAACTTTAAGTACAGATCCCGTTCGCTGAGTGGGCAGGTGGTTTCACACTGGGGCCGTACAGACTTACTAAATATATCCCCAATGATTGTTATATTTTTTAATAACATAATAGGTTGATTAGAATGATGTCTATATTACAATATGGCAATAACCAAGAATATATTGTGAGTGCTTAGTAATATTACGTATATGGAATTAAATAAAAAGTCAAAAGTGCATTAGATCATCTCACCTGTTCTCTTGGAACCCTTGAGAACGTTGTGCGGAACCTTACGGAGAACCCCGTTTGAGAAATACTGCACTAGAGTGACAGGGTGAAATCAATTTCTATTTTCCCCTCAGATTATATCATTTTCAGTGCTGGGCACTAATATGAATACATTTTCGAGGTGTACGATGAAATTTGTTCGGTTTGAAAAATATTCCGTTTTTATTAGATTTTTATCACCCCCAGGCACTAATGTTTCGACTGTCGATTAGTTGCCCTACTGCTATTCTCTGCGATGGACGTTACTCCAAGGAAGCGTATGAAAACTGTAATTCTGCAGAATACACTGGCAAGCCTTACCAGTGATTAAATCAAAGTACTATAAATTGGCCCGGAATCTCTCCGGATTTAAATTCAATCGAGAATCTGTGGTCAATCTGCAAGGAACGACTTGGTGTAATGGACAT